TAACAGAAGCAATAGAAAGCAGACCTACCAAATGCGACCGAATACTGCACGAATCAACCCCCAGCTCTGAATGCCACGCCTCACCTCACCACGCCAGTATCTACCTGTGTACTGGTACGCTTCAGTTACACTTTGTCACATGACCACAGCAGGTTGGTCCAACCAATACTGTATAGTAATACGTCACGTACGTAATGTTGTCGCTTCTACTGAACACTAATGAGTGCAGCGTTAAACAACAATCAAACTAACAATTCATTCCAGCCTAACACATTCAAGTTGGCCTTAACTTGCACTCTGTGGTCTATAAGGAAAACCGTTGGTCGGGGATACATATGACCAGTGCCCCTAATATTCCACATTATGTCTATCTTGGCATCTAAAGTAATCCTTTCCGGTACGTAAACTTGAGGGTTCCAAAGGATTTCTAAAACAATCACCTGCAATCAGTGATTTCAACAACGCCAGCTTCTGATGACAGATGACGAGATCTAGATATTAAGATTCCATAAAATGAAATCGTGATTGTTACCGTCGACAGACCATGTGATCAGCCATGTGAGCCCGGAATGCATTAATGAATAAATTACTAATTTTCAGTGAATACTATTTTTTCTTAAACACAGTGTATGAAATATGGAGTACATATTTATGGATTTAATGTAACAACCACCGAGATCTGTGCGTGTTATCCAGACTTCATACTGGCCTGTATAGAACGTCATACCAGTGCATTTGGAACTTATGGCATCTTCGAGTTCAATACACAAGTTCCAAATGCATTAGTTTGACGTTCTGTACCGGCCAGTATGATAGACTTTTACGGAAAGATGTTGTTGAACATTGGACAAAGCATACCCGGCAGCCGTTCAATACGGAAATCAGAGTGCAATTTGTTTAAATGTGTGTTTGTTTAAATACTTTCAAAATTCTCCCTTTCCGAACATTCGATAGCCTCGCAACCATACTCCGATCATGAAAATTGCAAGTTCCCTTGACTGCAATATGAGCACCCTTTTTTGCGTCACTCTGAATTTGACAGAAGCGTTGGTTGCGATTATCAGCGGTGAAGTTGCTAAAAATTTATGGGGGATTCAAAAACTACTATAAGGTGAGCTGAAGCAGTAACCTCGGATGACTGATTTTGTGTCATATTCCTGTGTCCGTGATATGTCAAGCTCGTCATAATATGACCAGCTAAGCAGATGATGTCCATTGCCGACTTAAAGTGGTGGTTAGTTGTTCCTAAGATTTAAAGACAGGTAAGATAGGTGAAGCGGAGAGACAGCGGGAGAGCGGTAGACAGCAGAAAGGCAAGCCAGGGGCGGGCACTCATCCAGAGCCAATCCAGTCCATCAGAGCAGGCTGTCTGACTCTGTAAACTGCATGTAAACTGTTAGCCCTGCCTCACAAAGTTGTACTGCGAGAATAAATACGCCAGTCCACCTTTCAAGAACCCCGGACGTATTACTGTGTCAATGACCTGTAGGTAACACGCCATGCAGAAATCAGATATTGCGATGGATGTTCATATTGCTATTGAGCGCCTGGAAACATTAGCATAAGAAATAAGTGAGTCGGGTAAGACAGCTTTTTTTCATAATAAGTAAGTCGGGTAAGACCGCTTTTTTTCGTGTTTGCCTAAGTTCCAGCGCAACAAAGCAATCGTATGTGAGGTGAGGTGAAATGGGCTTTAACGTTCTTCTTAAGAATATTTCACTCATATGACGACGTGCATGCGTGTGTATTTGTGGCTGCTTGTACTAGCCCACACTTAGGCTGGTTTTACCAGAGATACCAGTTAAGCATAAATACCCTACTCAGATACATTATACTGACTCCGAGCCGACCAGTTCTTGTTGTACCCATTAATGCCGAGCACCAGGCAGGGATCATATTTTAACGTCTTTGGGAGTGACGCGGCCGGAACCTTCCGCTCTCCGGGCAGACGATCTAACCACTTCTCCACGTGCCTCCGTCGATCGTATGTCATCAAGAGGTGAGTGAGTTAAATTTCTAATAGGCAACTTTAAGTTAACAATTAATTTCTTCCTTTTATTACTACAGTCCGTGAATGTCCGGGTTAGAATTGATCTTCAGCAACCCATGCTTGTCGTCAGAGGCGACAAAAGGGATCGGGTGGTCAGACTCGCTGACTTGGTTGACATATGTCAACAGATTGCTGTTGATCACAGCATTGTCCAGATCGCCGCCATATTGCTGGAGTTTTGTGTGGTGTAAAACTCACTCACTTCCATTATTACAGTTATTACAAAGTCTACATGTTTTGGCTATGGTTTCAACACATGATCAAAGTAGAGCGGGAATCGTACAACGGACTTTGCCTTCAGCAGTTTACTTAAAAGGATTGTATCACTTTCACTAACGTTTAGCATCACCATGGCTCACAAGGTCGGTTACCGGTCTGACATGACATGCCTACAATGTTCGTGGTGTAGGAGGTGTTTGTTGTCTGCGTGTCTGTTGCCAAAACAGAACTCATGCAATGCTGCGGTATATTCTGTTTAAAGAAATCATCGTCCGTTTACAGAAGGCATCTTTCATGAGGAGCGCATTTAGAAGCCGAAGCTGCTGTAAAATCTCAACAATTTGGAGATATATAGTGAACGCAGCGTTGAACACTATTCCAGCTCTAACACGGCGTGTCGACTTCATCTAGAAGGAATGCTTGAGTGATACAGGTGTTAGACGTTCAGCAGATTACCGAAACCCACGAACATGGGTATGGCGCAGATATACCTAGACACATAATCAGGACTGATGAGGATCCGAACCCACGATCATAGGTTTCTGGTATGCCCAAGGGACGTAACTCTGCCATGGACATTAATCACCTTGGACGACTGGGTCATCCGAGCCCGGGAAGATAACTAGTGTACGGTACGTAAAAGTGTACGGTACATTGTCCATCACACTGCTGTCCGGGTTCGATTCCCCACATAAATACGGTGTGAAGCTCTTTTTAAGTGTGCCACGCTGTGATATGGTTAAATGAAACACTCACCATCACTGGGCGAACAAACAACCATAATTAACCGTGCGCTTTAGCTATAACAACTTGTTAACACATACTTGCATCAAACGTTCATATGGGACACGCGGCTAGAGAACATTGTAAACAAAAGACATATCGTATGCAAAATAGGGCATGATAAGGTTTTATTTGCCTTTATGGTTTGCGTTATAGTCAGGCCGCGTTAATCCGAACACTTCCGTTTTTCATCAAAAACGTTCAGATAGTGAAACGTACGGACTACTGAAACGAACCATTATGTACACCACTATAGTAGAGTTACTTCCCTTTGACATACCGAGACAAGAACATAAGAACGTATACATGTACATGTATCAAATGACTTTATTACAGTTTGTATAACAATCAAAACTCAGAAACTCACTCGGGTTTAAAGAAATCGCCAATGGCAGTGATGTTGGGAGGCAGGAAATGAACTTTCACGTTGGTCAGTTTGATATTGGCACACTTGTGACTGGCAGCGTTGTCACAAAGTAAGATCCACGTGATCGCATCTGTCTGTCAAAAGATTTCAGCGTTTGCACAAGTGAGACCTATTAATTGATTAAAAAAACAAAATAACGACATGTTCAACTCAGAAGGGTCATCTCACTTATCAATTACCATTTAAGTTTACAGATGTAAATCAGCGCGAATCAATGGTGTTCACGAGGTTAGGGGATTATCCGAACCAATTTGATGTATCGCCGGATTAATGAAGCAAAACCAAGTGTAATTAGCTAATCCGTTACCGCCAATTAACGTCCGGATCCGGAGAGTGAAGCACCGGATTAATGAATCAACAGTTAATGAGTTTACATAGTAAACAAGATTTGTTATAGCCAGCAATCGTTCGGATATTGCGTTAATCGGATTATCGGAGTGCAGATGTAAAAACTATTTTGGTGTCTACCAAGAACGAGTTTTCATTCCCTGTGCATGTTAACAAGGTTGCTTGACAAGATATGAAAATTCCATGGCGATTCTTTAAAAAAAAAGCAATTTGGAAACGTAATATGTTTTCCAAATGATATCAGCCCAATTATGATGTATGGATCCAAAATATAGGGATTCAGAAAAATTGATGCTTTTGAAACGATTCATTTGTATACTTGTATGATCTATCTGGGTATTACTATAACACACATAACAGGTTATGCTTGTAAGAAGTATCCGAGTGTTAATATAACACACATATACTCAGTGTACTGAATAGTAGTAAAAAATTACTTAAGATAACAAATTCAAGATTAAAATGTACCTGTAACAATGAATTGTTACTCTATGATCGTGATTGTAAATGTAACTCGACACCGTTTGTTAACCAGTTGATCAAATCACTGGGTCTGGTGCTTTAAAGACTGAACAAAGTGAGTATCTTCTCCAGTGCCTACTACATTTAACAGACAGCACCATTTGCTTTAAAGACACGTGCAGAAATTCGAAGTGTCCTGGTAGCAGTTCTCACGATTTCCTTATTGAATTAGATAGACACCATGGAATCAAAACAGAAGGCAGAATCTGTCAAATGTATGTTGATTTTTGTAATACGGAAGATAAATGCCATTTGATGTATTTTTGTTTCCATTTTATGTTGAAGCCAGTTCAAGAATGAATGTTTTATCCTCACTTGTGTAAAGTGTACTCTTTAATGAAGACTAAAAGTACTGAAAAACAATTGTCGAATTTCGTTTTGCATTATATGAATCTCATAAAGCATGCACTAACACAACGACGGGATATGTTTGACAGTTGTCATGGTTATTGATGCATATTCCGTTACATAAATATATCTTAAAGATCACATGCAACCAAAAATACAAACATAATTAAAACACAATAATCACGTATTCATGATATATAATATGCATTGCTGATTATCAAAAAGCAAATAAACAAAATTATAAGCGTACAATCGCAAATGAAAAGTGCAACATTTTGTACTTGGGTTTACTGCGCTCGAAACGAAGCACCCGGGATACCGAACCCAGTCAGAGCGGGTTGGCGAGCACTCAAGTGTAACAAAGTCTTTCATTGGCTAGTTCATTTGCCGATACGCTCAACCGGTTCTTTGTTTATGGGGTATAAGTCCGATAGGTGTAAAGTTCAAATTGCATGTGGTCAGTGATTGAAATTGTGTATTGCATATTGTCATTAGCAGACAGGCAGGTAGACATATAGGTGCCAATTAAACAGACATTGAGTTTTGTCTGTGACAGAGGCTGCTTGTCACAATCAATATGTTTTTTATGTAACGATTAGATTATTTACTTGTCTGTGTACACAACCAAGATTAGACTCCTGCTCACGACTTTATAATCGGGACATGCATCCTGTTTCAGGCTCCGCGAACCTATTCACTGCGCATGCGTTATGAGCGCAGCGCAGCATAGCTGTTGAAACAACTTTTCACCCCAAGCAAATACTCCGATGCAGGCAAAAAGTGAACTTCGGCACAAACTGGTTCCTACTTCTTGCCTAGAAGGTCACCAACTGAGATTATCTACCCTTTCCAGGAAATCGACGATTTGAAGGCACTTTTGAGAGTGGAAGGTCTTCTGTGTTTCTTGATGTACTCTTCACGGTAAGATGGTTCAGATGGCTCCCATGTGTCATCAGGTTTCAGGGACATCTTGATCCTCTGAAATAAATTCAATAACATAAACATTCCACCCGAAACATTGCTCCAAAAGCCCTTCCATTAGGAGCATTTAAAACTAGAAGCCTTACACAAATCCTTTCGCACAGCATGACACAGTCGACTAGCTACTGACGACCGTATTTACAGTATTTCATGCACATCTAAGAGAGTGTCATGAGCTGTAAGAAAATGTTCATGGACCTGTTACCAGAGTCTAGAATGTCATGGACCTATTTAACCAAGAGTCAACAGGCATATGCTGATGAAAAGGTATTACTTCCAGATGAAACAATGACGAGTGTATTTGCTAATTATTAAACAGATCTTGAATTTGACGAATTGATGAAAGACAAATTGTCTCTTCAGTCCAACTTTAGTCCCGGCTACTTGTTGCATACTTTAGTCGAAATGATTATAAGTAACTACGGTTGTAACGAACTAAATAAGTTTCCCTCTGGGTTCGTTATAACCCTAGGTTACTGTATTTATCACCATTCAAATGTTTACGAAGTAACCGCAGATCTAGAGAGGTAGTGAGCATCGATCTACGCAATTGGAATACGATGATATGCGTCAACCAAGTCAGCGAGCCTGACCACCCGATCCCGTTAGTCGCTTCTTACATGTACGACAAGCATGGGTTGCTGAAGACCAATTTTAACAATTGTCCACAAGTCTGAGTGAAATAATGCCAATTCATGTCTACCAATTTATAGATCAACTACCAGAAATAATATGTACATCATGGATTTCTATGTTGTATATTTTCATTTTTCATTGACAACGTTGATAGCTTTAAACCGAATTACCTGGAAAACACCTCCTTTCCCACGGTAAATAGCGAGAAACATCATTATTATCACAGGCATCAGGGGGAGGGAAGCGATTATCCATCCTATTACAGTCGAGTAATAAGGATACACATATTCTCCATATGTTGGTGATTTATACTGGGCGAAGGTGAAAACCATAGTCATCTGGAAAATGAAATACGTTTTATTAGCATATAGTTTATTTGTAAATGTAATCTGTATAAACATACTGAGATATACTTTAAACCTGTTGTTATAAAAGACTCTGGATTTCCTACTTTGAGTTTTCATAATGTTTCTTTAAAATCTGTAAACTTCATTTAGTCATTAAAAATGACTAACTTAATAACATTATATTTGCGCCTTCAACGTAACAAAGGCTCTTAAAGCTCACTCGAGACGATAAGGTACGTATTTCGCTGTATGTAATGTTCAGCATCCGACTCATTTTGTAAGGAGACCTCAGTAAATCTTCCCAACGCTTTGTGACGGACATGCTATTGTTTCAGGTGGACAGTTAACTTGCCTTTGCGTGCGTTAATGATGGTGCCAGCGTTTGGGCAGAAAAGCTTACCTATTCGCGAACACTTGGTATTTTATAGTGATGGCTAAAAATAATTTTGTACTTGGAATCTTAAAATGGTACACTAACTATATATAGCATCTATTTCTTATGGGATGGAAATGGATTTGTTGCTCGTATATATTCCCTGGGGTCAGAAAAAGGCGATTCCATGAAAGACGTTGATACCTACCAGGAGCATTGCTGGTGTAATGTAACACCATGTGATCTTGAAGAATAGGGGTGCTGGTCTGCCAATCATCAGTTGAATGTCGCCACTGAAACGGTCAATACCTAAAAGGATAGACACAATATTAGAATAGTTCTCGACAAATGGTAGTTGAGAGATTAACATCTGAGCTCGTAATTCACTTGCTTCTACTACATCTTTGGGGTTTTTTATCATATGTTTACATTGTGCAAAATACCTACTGTCTTTGAGAAAATTATAAATTATAATATTAACAGTTTCAATTTGTCCTGGCACACTGCTGGGATATCAGATGGATCACTGGCCAGATATATACAGTTAATAAATGAAGTGGTGTTTTAAAACCATGGGATGTGCTCCACCAACGCCTAGCGAACAGTCCTTACCATACAACCATGACACCATGATACATTCCAGCAAAGCAACGAATGTAATGAAGAGCGCCACAATGTACCAGTCTACAAGCTGGAACACATATATTCCACCCTGAAATTAAACATCAAAATATTAACAAGCAAGGACTTGGATGTTCTCGGATCCAGGCCCTCTGTCTGACAAATCAGCTCAGTGCAGATTACAGTGGTAAACAGAACACCATGAATTAGTCTAAAGTTGAAATCGCATAGCAATGATTAAGTCAAGATATATTAAAAATGCCACTTCATCTGCATACATGTCATGTAGAACAGTGTGTTGTACTGATGCAAAGCAATTGGGTCCTTAAAGCAGCGAAAAGAGGATATGCTAGTCCCAAACATTTTCACAAAACATCTTAAGAATGAGAACAATAGACCGAGAAATCATTGAGATTAATGTTTGTTGTTGATAACTGTGAATATAAGCACTTTAAACAGACACACACAGAGACACACAAATACGGGCGCGCACGCACGCACGCACGCACGCACACACACACACACACACACACACACACACACACCTGAGTAGTCATTACTAGTCCAACGAGAAATGACACCAGGCAGTAGACGGCGGCGATTGGTATTCTCCATTTCACTAGGCTGTGGTATTCATCCAAGATTGCCGTCATGAAAGTTTCAACTTGCGAGAACTTAAAAATAACATGATAAATAAATGTAAATATTTGAGTAATCAATACACATACGCCATGGGCATGGTTTGATAACATGATTCCTTGTCACAAGAATCTCACTTTTTACTTAAACCATTCTTACTTCAACACGATTCCAGGATGTCTGGTTAAGCCATGCTCGTTGTTATTCAATTGTTACTCTTTTAATTCAAAATATATTACGATAATCTTCAAAATACCTAGTTAGAAAACTACATTTAATAATCAACCCTCATCAGTTGGCACTTCCAGTGGACTTGTCATGGACAGCTATCATGCTCTGGAACATATGGTCATATACACAAGATATAATGTAAGGGATCTTGCGTCGTAACTTTGTCAAACGTGTGAGAATGCGAAATCGTGAAAACACGAGATTTGGGCCAGTTTCGCCCGTGTCGAGAAAACGTCCCTTACACTATTCCTTACAAATTCAACTTTACTCATTGCGGTTCCTTCTACAGACTTAGAAGACGTCATGATTCTTGAATTCTGCTCAATTCGAACCCAACTAATCACTGGGTAAATTTAGTTAACCGTGTAATATCATATTTATGAAAGTAGTGTTTGAAGTATTTTCCACAACAGATGAAGCAAATATCAGCGAAGGCAATGTGTAGCATTAGTACATTCTAACCAGAGAATCCATCGCCAATAGGATGATCATGACAAAGAAGATAAAACTCCACAACTGTGGCAATGGAAGTTGAGCCAGGGCTTCTGGGTAAATAACAAAGCCCAATCCAGGTCCTGCAAATATAGAAATTTAGAACAAAGCATGTCTCAGCGGTAGAAATACACGTTACATGTATGTATGGAGTGTTTTGTTCTGGTGCATAACCATAAAATGTATAAAAATAAGTTTAGTCTTGATATTTTTCCTTTACATACATCGTATATTTCGCCGCTCAGCAGCTCTTCGGTTTTAATTAAACGAATTAAGTGCAGTCACACAACGGCAGTATCTGTGTCATCATAAAACTTATGATCGTCACAGTTAGTGACAATAGAAGGAGATGTAAAACGTAGTCATAGACGACAGCCAACATTATGTTATGAGTGTAGAAATATACATTTAGCTGCATAGGAAAGTTATGAAAAAAAACAACTTTTGAATGAAGCTTAGGTTTCAAAAACCTAATGAACATCTGTTCGTTTCTCAAAGATTCATTTTGATACACATTCACGAATAACAAAAGAATAAATATTCATCTGACTTTCGTTTTCCATTTATCACAGCAAAAATAATTGAGTTTCCGATCTTGCGGAAACCTAATGGATACTGGGTAATGTAGGTTTCCGCTAGGTTTCAGTATCCGGAAACAGACAATGCGAGTTTCCGCATAGTTTACAAAACTGAAACTAACAAATCTAGGTTTCCGTCAAGTTTCTACAACTGAAACTATCATTATGCGTTTCCATTTAGTTTCAGTTCGCTGAAACATTCATAGCAAAATGACTTAGTTTCCGCTATTTCGGAAACCTATTGGATACTGGGTAATGTAGGTTTCCGCTTGGTTTCTGTTGGTTTCAGCTTAGATGATATGGCAAACTTAGTATAGCTTTGTGCTGTTCCATTGGGGGACTATATTTACTTACTGTTACATTTGCAAGATAATTTCTATATATAGAATCCTTCTAGGGTCCATGCAGGAAGCAAACGTACTGTACGTGCCGTAGTCCCTAGTATGTTGATCAACCTTCAGGTGTTGGCAATCTATAGCCCACTTTTATACTGTACCGTTATAGTGTTTATGGTTACATGCCAGTTTTTAGTGTACATTTGTGATAGACTAGTTATTTTACTGTCCTTCGAAGACAGGTAAGAAATAAGTTTGTTTTTATTTCATGTACACATTTACAAATTTAGAGTTACGACTTTCATAGTCACGATATGGCTGCCGATGTGACTTTGTAACTCACTCACTACCATTCTGCATAACTTGTGAATGTACCATTTATTATATTTTACACGAAAAACAACAAACACAGTAACACAGTCACTGTTATGATTCATCTCTTTCATTATTTTGAATAGCTCACATTTCAACAGAACTCAACAATGTATGTGTGTGTGTATGGCCTCATCAAGAGGGAATCTTCAGATTTGGAGAACACAAATTCTGTATTAATATGCAAATACAAATATGTTAAAACCCTACAACATTTTATGCATATAATGAAATGAGGTCTACTAGTGCAGGCATAACATATTTGCTGTGGTATTTATTAAACAGATTTCAAATTAACATTCAAATGTTTATTGTATGAAAGGTCATGGGCCCATATACATATACATGAAGTGTACATTTGAAGCTGCCTCAATGTATCTTAACATACACACACTAACAATCTCACATAAAAAGACTTGGCAACTTGCTGACAATCATGAAGCTTCTGTTGCACTCATACTGAGCAGACAGCAATCCTCTGATCTGGTACATATGAAGCAGAGCCTGAGTTGAGACATTTGTTTTGCCACACAGAGAAAGGGGAAATATAACCAAGTTGATTACAACAAGGCTTGAACCAGTCCACAACCGCAAACAGATGGTGTATGCTCTACTTTAGATCTGTGGGTGAATATGAAGAGTCCTGGTTGATGTCTGGCACAACATCGTTGCCATCATCATCATCCCACACAGACTCTGCATCATCCTGCAAATACAATACATACAATGCTTAGTAAAACTACAAAAACAGCCAAAGTAACACATTGATACATATTCAAAAACATGCACAGTGGTACATCTGATCACAATGAATTATAAAATTAGAACGACTAATTTGTAGATGTAACCAAAAGATTTTTTTTCACAATCACAAAGGAAAGATCTGTAGTATACATGTATATTGTTTCTCCCATTGGACATGTCACTTATTTGATTGATTGGTACCAGAAAATACTAGCCAACCCAGTATTCTGAAGCAAATTGTGGTAATATTTATTACTGTTACTGTACTCATATTCAAGGTAACATCTACTACCAAATCGCCAATTGAAATCTAAGCATAGGTAAAATGGTACATACATATTTTAAATAGATACGAATCCCGTTTAAACACCGAATGTAACACTTGATTATATATGTGATCTTATTCAAATTGAAATGACCAACTCTACTGAGAAAAGCATACAAAACCTAACATTTCCCATGAATGAAAAATCGTGGGTATTTCTTAGTTTTATCAACCCACTAAGGAAACATTCACGGCAATATAATAACATAAAATATTATTTTTATTTTTTAATGTGACCTTTACTTTAATTTAAAAACTGTAAAATGTGTAACACAACTTATTCACTTTCAGTTACAGTTACATATCTGATATACAATAATTAAATATATTCATTATTGATATATGATGGATAGCAAAGGGACAGATCAAACTGAAGTCGTTAAGTGAAACCTATGAAGTGAAGTATCTTTGACGACTAACCTGATGAGAAACTGCCGTCCATTCCAGACGGATTCCTTGTTTCCTTGAAACAAACGACTGGCAGTGCGGACAGAAAACTGGGTCTTTTTCTTGGAACTGAAAAACATATCAACTTATGATTACACTGGAATCCACGCACTGTTACATTTGATTGATTATTTTTTTTACAAAGATAAAGAAATTTATTCTATGTATCTATTTAGTGTTTACTTGTTTTTGACTAAATGCTGATGAATAAAAAATACTGTTTTAAGATTTCCTTTAATGAAATTAGGAGCATGGTATGGTGTAACTATAAATGATTACCAAGCCAAGCCTCTGTTCAATCTCCAACAAGTCAGTGGATCCACAATACGTATCTGTAAATCAAATAATTGAAACAATGATTCTTTTAGAAGTGTTATACGTGACTTGTGTCAATGCATTGTAAGGCTAAGAGGTTTAATAATTGATTACACAAATTATTACACAAAGCTATGAGTGTAAAGTATATGTAATAATTGTTTTAATGGTTATAAAATGATAAAAAAGATGAACTGGTATAATTGGATCAATACCGCCTTATAGCTGGAATATTGCTGAGTGCGGCGTAATACTTAACTCACTCACTTAGATATGTTGAGCTGACATTACATATAAACTAGTAATATATACTGCAAAATTAGATAAGTAAACTGATAATACATCGGAATAGTATACGTAGATCTAGGTGTAAAACTGAAAAGAATGAACATGATATAAGCATATCTAATACACTTGTATGTTTTGAGCTCAATAGGTAAATTACATGTACTTACATGATGAAGTTTTACGTCCAGCAGAAATATTTTCGTATACTGCCTACTCCTGACAGAGTTTTGAAAAGTCACCTATTTGCCACTAACACAAGTTCCCATGAGCAGGACTCATGAAGCTCGATCTGGGTGCCGTTCCACTAACCGATCTTAGCCCTACGCCAATCGTAAACCCATAAAATCCCAATCTTAGCGTGACGTTACGATCGGCATACCGTTCCACTAACCAATCTTACCTAAGTCAATCGTAAAGTTAAGATTCAAAGTCTAAGTTGCTCATGAACAACTTAGGATAGCTAAAATCAATCGTAGAGAAACCAAAATGGTGGCTTTCCTATTCTATGTGAAAAATAAGAGCGAGCATTTCACCGTGAGCGTCCCCTAAAATCCCCCATGAAATGAATTTGTATATTTCTGTGATGTAAACAAACACTGCACTGAAGCCTTACAAATGTCAGGCCAGTCTGACCACTGTCGTCATGGGAACACAACCGAGCGAGTTGGTGTAACACATTTGTATTGTACAGCAATATTGCAACATCATGGTTAAGAATAGGGACAGCCGTGAAGTGAACAATGTTCTGAAGCAAAAAGATACAAATATGTTTGACTTCACTGCGCATATTTGGTGGGGGATTCTAAAGGCAGACCGCGTGTTATTCAGGCACATATTAAAAGCTCTGACACAATTGACATTTTTAAAGTCCAGACTTAAAACCCGTTCTCAGTTTATTACCTCGGCAGTAAATGCTCTCGTGTAAATTATCTGTACATGGCGCTTTGAGCATGCCCCAGGATGTGGAATGGCGCTCTATAATATGCATTATTATTATTATATTATGCCCGATACCCAGCGTTCACACGCACTTGCACCTGAAACCAAGGTGCTCACTACCGTACTATTTTGCTCCAGCCTTTTTCTCCACGTTTACACTTGGTTGGAAAAATACCAATGAAGGCCCGGGTTAGAATATTGAACTTCAGCAACCCATGCTTGTCGTAAGAGGCCACTAACGGGATCGGGTGGTCAGGCTCGCTGACTTGGTTGACACATGTCATCGGTTCCCAACTGCGCAGATCGATGCTCATGCTGTTGATCACTGGATTGTCTGGTCCAGACTCGATTATTTATAGCTAAGATACATAGCGTTAACTAACATGAACGCTCATGTTAGTGAACGCTATGCATCTTAGTTAGATTATTTACAGACCGCCGCCATATAGCTGGACTATTGCTGAGTGATCGGGACCGGCTACAATCGGCCTAAAATCGGTTAGTGGAACGGGTGTAACTTTTAGCTAAGACGATTGTAAAATTGGCGTAACTTGCTAAGACTGATCTTAGATAAGATCGGTTAGTGGAACGGCACCAAAGACTTTTAAAGTAACGTGAATATGTTTTCAGATTTATTCACTGTTAATTATCCTAGGCCTACATGTTGATGCTTGACACTGAGGAGGAGCAATTAGTGCCCATTATGCGATGAAAAGACCCTTAAGCCCATAACAGCCCAC